TGGAAGGATTTCTACAACCTAAAGCTGCGTTAGAACCAAGTTCTGTTGGACCCGACCCGGTTTCTTTCTGTTCAGTCTCACTGTGGGACATCAGTGGTTCTTCTTCATCCTTTGGCTCAGAGCCTCCTGGTTCCTGCTGAGCAGAACCTTTGAAGGTTCTAGCTGATTCTAAGCTGGATCAGAACCAACAGGAAACGGCTTTGGTCATTGATTGTGGAATAAAATGGATGAAGGAACTCCTGCTGCTGCCGAACCAGAACCAGAACCAGAACCCGGCTCCGTATAACCTCCTACCTGTCAGCAGGACCTGGGTACGCCAGCTGAACATCACACCGAGGAGGGAAACTGGTCGGTTCTCCTCTTGGTGCTGCTGGATGAAGGTCCGGTTCTAAGTTAGAGCAGAACCTTGTTCTAAACTCAGATTTATCCAAAAGCGGTTCTTCTCTGGTTTTTACAGATTCCATCAGAAAGAACTTCTTTATTCTCCCAGAGAGTTCTTGGATCTTCTACCATCTCTTACCTTTTAACACCATCATCAGTCCGGTTCTGCGGTTCCACCTGAATACCTGCAGGGAACCGCAAACAGAACCGGAGCCTCACCATGTTGAGCGTAGGCCAACATGGCGGCATGGCCACTCTGTCTCCCTCTGCTCCCATGAGCCTTCAGGCTGTTGGAGAGGCGGCAGGTCGTCTCCAGGAGCTCCATGAGGGAGAAAGACGAGGGAACGCTGGAGAACCGGAGCTTCAGCTACGCATGGTCCACTTGTAGACAGAAAAAGAGGCGTCAGTTTGTTTGATGGGGATTTTTCTAACCTCCTGGTCTGTGCAGATGAACGAGTCGTTAGAACCTCCCAGACATCTTTCCCTGACCACGCTAAACCATCCAGAGCGAAACAAGAGAACGTCTGACCAGAGAACCTGGATCATCTCCACCTCAGCAGCAGTTCTCAGGTGTTTTTATCACAGAAAGAGATGAAGCTAGGAGAGAGAAAGTCAAGCAGATTCTTTAAAATGTATAACTGCACTATCTGATAATGATCTGCTAAAATCAAACCTCCTTCAAAAGAAGGTTCAATTAGTAGATCATTATCAGAAAGTCCAGTCATAAATTTTAAAGAATCTGCTTCATTTTCTCTCTCCTCTGTGTCGCTGAGCAGTGCTGCAGAGGGCTAAAGCTTAGCTTATTCCCCTTCCACAGGTTGATGATTTTGTTGATGGGGTTGCTAGTTCTCTGCGTACTGCCTTAGACAACGCAGCTCCTTTGAAAATGAAAACCGTTAAAAATAGAAAGCTTGCTCCTTGGTTTAATGCAGAGCTGCGCACTTTGAAGCAAAATGCTAGGAAACTGGAGAGAAAATATCGCTCCACAGGCCTGCGAGAGTCCTTCCTAGTCTGGAAAAATGGTTTACTGCTGTATAAGAGGACTCTTTGTAAAGCAAGAGCAGCATACTTCTCCTCATTAATAGAGGAGAATAAGAATAATCCTTATTATTAGAGTTTTTCCTCTCCACTGTCGCTACAAGCATGCTTAGTGTGAGGGATTGCTGAAGAGTCAATGAGTCGATGCAATCAGCTGGTTTTCCTTAGATAGAAAACTTTGAATCAATCTGACTGGATGATCTGGTGAACTGGAAAGTGACCTGAGATGACATGATGTGAATTGGAGCTATAGAAATAAACTGAATAGAATTGAATTGATAGAACTTAGCAGCATAGATCCGGTTTGGATCAGTTCTGGAGGACAGAGAAACACGTTCCACTGTAGAACATGTAGAATGTGTCTCTAGTAGAACATATCTATAGTAGAAGTTGTCTCTAGTAGAACATATCTATAGTAGAATGTGTCCAGTAGAACATATCTATAGTAGAATGTGTCTCCAGTAGAACATATCTATAGTAGAATGTGTCTCTAGTAGAACGTATCTATAGTAGAATGTGTCTAGTCGAATATATCTATAGTAGAATGTGTCTCTAGTAGAACATATCTATAGTAGAATGTGTCTAGTCGAATATATCTATAATAGAATGTCTCCAGTAGAACATATCTATAGTAGAACGTGTCCAGTAAAACATATCTATAGTAGAATGTGTCTCTAGTAGAACATATCTATAGTAGAATGTGTCTCTAGTAGAACATATCTATAGTAGAACATGTCCAGTAGAACATATCTATAGTAGAATGTGTCTCTAGTAGAACATATCTATAGTAGAACATATCTATAGTAGAACGTGTCCAGTAGAACATATCTATAGTAGAATGTCTCTAGCAGAACATATCTATAGTAGAATGTCTCCAGTAGAACATATCTATAGTAGAATGTCTCTAGTAGAACATATCTATAGTAGAACGTGTCCAGTAGAACATATCTATAGTAGAAGTTGTCTCTAGTAGAACATATCTATAGTAGAACGTGTCCAGTAGAACATATCTATAGTAGAATGTCTCTAGTAGAACATATCTATAGTAGAACGTGTCCAGTAGAACATATCTATAGTAGAATGTCTCCAGTAGAACATATCTATAGTAGAATGTCTCTAGTAGAACATATCTATAGTAGAACGTGTCCAGTAGAACATATCTATAGTAGAATGTCTCCAGTAGAACATATCTATAGTAGAATGTCTCTAGTAGAACATATCTATAGTAGAATGTCTCCAGTAGAACATATCTATAGTAGAATGTCTCTAGTAGAACATATCTATAGTAGAACGTGTCCAATAGAACATATCTATAGTAGAAGTTGTCTCTAGTAGAACATATCTATAGTAGAAGTTGTCTCTAGTAGAACATATCTATAGTAGAATGTCTCCAGTAGAATATATCTATAGTAGAACGTGTACAGTAGAACATATCTATAGTAGAATGTCTCCAGTAGAACATATCTATAGTAGTTGTCTCTAGTAGAACATATCTATAGTAGAACATATCTATAGTAGAACGTGTCTCTAGTAGAACATATCTATAGTAGAATGTGTCTAGTAGAACATATCTAAAGTAGAAGTTGTCTCCAGTAGAACATATCTATAGTAGAATGTGTCCAGTAGAACATATCTATAGTAGAACGTGTCTCTAGTAGAACATATCTATAGTAGAAGTTGTCTCTAGTAGAACATATCTATAGTAGAAGTTGTCTCTAGTAGAACATATCTATAGTAGAAGTTGTCTCTAGTAGAACATATCTATAGTAGTTGTCTCTAGTAGAACATATCTATAGTAGAACATATCTATAGTAGAACGTGTCTCTAGTAGAACATATCTATAGTAGAATGTGTCTAGTAGAACATATCTATAGTAGAATGTCTCCAGTAGAACATATCTATAGTAGAATGTCTCTAGTAGAACATATCTATAGTAGAACGTGTCCAATAGAACATATCTATAGTAGAAGTTGTCTCTAGTAGAACATATCTATAGTAGAAGTTGTCTCTAGTAGAACATATCTATAGTAGAATGTCTCCAGTAGAATATATCTATAGTAGAACGTGTACAGTAGAACATATCTATAGTAGAATGTCTCCAGTAGAACATATCTATAGTAGTTGTCTCTAGTAGAACATATCTATAGTAGAACATATCTATAGTAGAACGTGTCTCCAGTAGAACATATCTATAGTAGTTGTCTCTAGTAGAACATATCTATAGTAGAACATATCTATAGTAGAACGTGTCTCTAGTAGAACATATCTATAGTAGAATGTGTCTAGTAGAACATATCTAAAGTAGAAGTTGTCTCCAGTAGAACATATCTATAGTAGAATGTGTCCAGTAGAACATATCTATAGTAGAACGTGTCTCTAGTAGAACATATCTATAGTAGAAGTTGTCTCTAGTAGAACATATCTATAGTAGAAGTTGTCTCTAGTAGAACATATCTATAGTAGAAGTTGTCTCTAGTAGAACATATCTATAGTAGAATGTGTCCAGTAGAACATATCTATAGTAGAACGTGTCTCTAGTAGAACATGTCTATAGTAGAAGTTGTCTCTAGTAGAACATATCTATAGTAGAAGTTGTCTCTAGTAGAACATATCTATAGTAGAAGTTGTCTCTAGTAGAACATATCTATAGTAGAATGTGTCTCTAGTAGAACATATCTATAGTAGAAGTTGTCTCTAGTAGAACATATCTATAGTAGAATGTGTCCAGTAGAACATATCTATAGTAGAAGTTGTGCTGATGCTGTCAGCAGGCCGTGATCGGATGCAAACTGACTTCATTAGACTTGGATGGAACAATAATCCGGGGCGGATTAGGAGGCGGATCCGTCGCGCTGCAGAAGCGTTTATGTAACGAGGAACTGATGGAAGCTCCTCGTTCAGCTGCAGTTATTGGATTATAATTGGATTAAATCTGACAGTCTAGCAGAGTAGATGGAGAACATTCTAGCTCCACCGGTTCTGGACCAACTGGACCTCTGAGAGGTATCATCTGGGTCCTCCTCCAGAACCAGATGTACAGTTTTCAGATTACAACTGGAGTAAAAGGAAGAGAACCGGGTCCATCTAACGGGAACCGGGTTCATTCTGGGGGCTTCAGAACCAACATCTGGACCAGAACTGGTCCAACATGAGGGGAACCAGTTAGATGACCCAAACTTTGAACCGAACAATCTGAGGTCCGGTTCTGGACTCTCTGCAGAACCAGAACTTTATTCATGGAAAACATGTTCCGGTACCGAACCCACAGCCTGTCTGACCAACACCGATTCAGAAAACGGAGCAGAGCTCTCCGGAACATTCTAGATTCTAAGTTGAAGAACTGATCTAGAATAAAATATCTACTGTGACTGAAGATCATTATTTTTCATCCAAGTAAAAATCTTTTTATTCTCATTTATCTCCAGTTTAGGTCGTTAATGCATAACAAATATGAAAACATTAAAAAGGTCCATTTTATTTCACGTTTCAATCAGTTCTCTCATCAGTACAGATGGGGGCGGGGCCAACAGGTGGGGGCGGGGCCAACAGGTGGGGGCGGGGCCAACAGGTGGATCAGCAACAGCAGGTGTTGAGGACGAGCTCAGCTTCTGTTTGACCTGAAAACCAGGAATGGAATTAAAAGGTTCTGATCCAGTTCCTCTGACAGCATCAGGCTGAATCGGACCAGAACCAGATCTTCAGAACCGGATCTTCAGAACCAGACATAAACCCAACAGAACATGAGCACAGCAGGTATAAAAATAGGATGACAGATTCTACTTAATAATTCTCATTTGTCTACAGATGAACTAGTTCCTGTTCTAGAATCAGTTCATCTAGATCACAACGGGGCTTCTAGATGAATATATCTATGTTTTTAGTTCTGTCTCTTTGTGATTATTTATCTAGATTTGATCCGATGTGATCGTCTGATTTCAGTTATTGGTTGAATTATTACTGACAGCAGATCAGAAGATCAATCAGAATCTATTAAAATTATCTATTATTTTCCATCTAAATCTATTTACTGACCCCGCCTCTCGCCCACTGATAGGAACCAGCACCCCTCGCCACCCCCACTCAGGACAAGCAAGTCAGATAACGGATGGATGGATCTATTTAATATACTTCTTCTTCTTTATTGATCAAACAATTATTTCAGTTTTATAAAAACTTATTGGTTTAATTCAACTTCATCATAACTTTGATCTTTTCTTCTTTTAATAATTAGATTCTCTGGGAACCAGAGGAGGTTCTGAGGGTTCTTCAGGAACCAGAGGAGGGTCTGAGGGTTCTTCAGGAACCAGAGGAACCAGAGGAGGTTCTTCAGGAACCAGAGGAGGGTCTGAGGGTTCTCAAGGAACCAGAGGAACCAGAGGAGGTTATTCAGGAACCAGAGGAACCAAAGGAGGTTCTTCAGGAACCAGAGGAGGTTCTGAGGGTTCTTCAGGAACCAGAGGAGGGTCTGAGGGTTCTTCAGGAACCAGAGGAGGTTCTGAGGGTTCTTCAGGAACCAGAGGAGGGTCTGAGGGTTCTCAAGGAACCAGAAGAACCAGAGGAGGTTTTTCAGGAACCAGAGGAGGTTCTGAGGGTTCTCAAGGAACCAGAAGAACCAGAGGAGGTTTTTCAGGAACCAGAGGAGGGTCTGAGGGTTCTCAAGGAACCAGAAGAACCAGAGGAGGTTTTTCAGGAACCAGAGGAGGTTCTGAGGGTTCTCCAGGAACCAGAGGAACCAAAGGAGGGTCTGAGGGTTCTTCAGGAACCAGAGGAGACTCTGAGGGTTCTCCAGGAACCAGAGGAACCAGAGGAAGGTCTGAGGGTTCTTCAGGAACCAGAGGAGACTCTGAGGGTTCTTCCGGAACCAGAGGAGGTTCTGAGGGTTCTTCAGGAACCAGAGGAGGGTCTGAGGGTTCTTAAGGAACCAGAGGAGGTTCTTCAGGAACCAGAGGAGGGTCTGAGGGTTCTTAAGGAACCAGAGGAGGTTCTTCAGGAACCAGAGGAGGGTCTGAGGGTTCTTCAGGAACCAGAGGAGACTCTGAGGGTTCTCCAGGAACAAGAGGAGGGTCTGAGGGTACTCCAGGAACCAGAGGAACCAGAGGAGGTTCTTCAGGAACCAGCGGAGGGTCTGAGGATTCTCCAGGAACCAGAGGAGGTTCTTCAGGAACAAGAGGAGGGTCTGAGGGTACTCCAGGAACCAGAGGAGGTTCTTCAGGAACAAGAGGAGGGTCTGAGGGTACTCCAGGAACCAGAGGAGGTTCTTCAGGAACAAGAGGAGGGTCTGAGGGTACTCCAGGAACCAGAGGAGGTTCTTCAGGGTAAACATGTTGTCTGGTCCTGCTGCCTCATTAGCCAGCAGCAAACATCTGGAGCAGATCCAGCTGTTGCTGCAGCGAGTAAACAGGCTGTTTATCTGCAGCAGATTAGCAGCCATCATCAGGAAGGTGATTACAGCTTTTGTTCAAACACAAAGGTGGATTATCGCTTGTATACGTCCTTTAATCTGGCCGCAGGTCTGATGGATTACACGCTATCATCTGGAATTACTGGGGACCTACCAGCTGCTCAGACTGGAAACCAGTCCACATTAGACTGGAAACCAGTCCACATCTGGCCCATGGAGTCACGTCTCACCTTAGAAGGTTTGGATCAACAGCAACGGATGGAAGGAACAGGAAGAAAGGAAACCTTTATAGAAAAGAAAGAACGGTTCTAAACTAACTGGACTTCTAGAACTGGGACGTCTAGAAGCGGGACGTCTAGAAGCGGGACGTCTAGAAGTGGGTCAGAGCTCAGAGTTCTGTAACTGCTGGACAGGATCCAGTCTGGTTCAGTGCTGGTCAGTGGGGTCCTGGTTCTGCTGAGTCCGCCTCAGGTGCCTTCTGGTCTGCAGGTGAGCTTTGAGGAAGGTGAGGAGGCGGAAGTTCTTCCCGCAGGCCTGGCAGCTGTAGGGTGTCGCGCCGCTGTGGATGCTGCGGTGCCTCAGGAAGCTGGAGGCCAGGCTGAAGGTCTTGGTGCACACGGAGCACCTGTAGGGCTTGTTGCCGCCGTGGGTGGCGGCGTGCGCCCGCAGCTGCGCCTTCCGGCCGTAGCTCTTCCCGCACGCCTGGCAGTGGAAGGGCTTCACCCCTGTGTGCTGGAGCTGATGCGTCCTGCACTGCGACGCATTGGGGAACTTCTTCCTGCACACCGGGCAGCTGATGATGGCGTGGCGGGGCGGCAGCTCGCCGGCCGCCGCCTCGTGCGGATGTTTGCTGATGACGTGGTTCTTCAGGTAGCGGAAGCTCTTCCCGCAGATGGAGCAGAGCTGCCTCTCTCCGCTGTGCTTGGCCTGGTGGCTGCGTAGGTTGGCGGCCTGGTTGAAGCCCCTCCCACAGGTGGAGCAGCTGTACGGTCGCACCTCCTGGTGGACCAGCGTGTGGCGCTTCAGGTGGGAGGCGTGGTAGAAGGTCTTCCCACAGACCTCGCAGATGAAGGTCTTGTTGAAGTGGGTCAGTCTGTGGGTTTTCAGCACGCTGGCGCAGGAGAAGCTCCTCCCACAGATGTCGCAGTGGCAGTTCTTCTCGCGGGTGTGCCGCGCCTTCTCGTGGAGGTCGCGGTGAGTCTTGTGGTTGAATGTTTTGGGGCAGTAGCTGCAGGAGTAAGGCAGGAGTCCGTGCTCCTTCATCTCGTGCTCCCGGAGCTTCAGGATGCCGCTGAACTGCGTGCCGCACACGGAGCACAGCGGGTGGGACTTCCTGTGATGGTCGGCCAGCCGCTCGGCGCTGGGGAACAGCTTGGTGCACTGGGAGCACTGCAGGGGGGGCTGGACTGGCTGTTGGGTTCTACGTCCCGCCTCCATGGCTGAGGCGGCGTCTGGTGGCGCCGTCGATGGTCGAGCGTATCCATGGTCATCAGTCGCTGGTGGGGAGGAGGAGGGGAGCTGCATCTTCTCACCTGTAGGACCAGAGGAGAAGAAGCAGTTCATCTGACCACCAGCAGAGGGAGCTGCTCACATTTAAATAACAAGAGCTGCAACTAAACATTCATTTGCAAATCAATTAATACGTTTTTTAATTAATGGATTAATAATCAGATAGCTAAAGGTTCCTAAAAAAGATGATTATTTTACGAAATGAAACCAGTTGAAACTGAAACTTTTCGACTTGTGAGTCATAGAGCAGATTTACAGGCAGAAACATTTATCCTTAATTTAAATTGTTTACGTATTTTTTTACAATCTTGGTATAATTGCTGCTCATAGCGGGTCGCTTTGAGATGATGACGTGTGGAATTGATTCCATGCTGTATAAATAATCTCAACAATCAATTAATCCGATGAATGTTTCAGGCCAGATTATAGCAGCAGCTCCTCAGGGATCCGTTCTTCTTCTCTAACTCACCCTCAGCGCTGTCGGTGGTCTGCAGCGCCACCAGCAGGTTCCCAGCGTCTCCAGCGGGGCTCTGAAAACAGGAACATGATCAACGTTTTGCTGAGCGTCCCCAGGGTTCCTCTACCTGCAGCCTGATTGGTGGACTGACTATGAGCAGGAGGATGTAGGCGTGGTCTCTGCCGGCTTCAGCGATGGCTGCCTTTTCACCTGAAACACAGAGAAATGAAGCTCGGCGCCGTTCTGACATCAGCTCCTTCCAGAACATCTGTTCTTCCTGGGATCCGTTTCCTAAACTACTGCCTCTGTTCTTTTATAAAGGTTTGATTTCCATCTGAAGCTCAGTCTGATTTATAGCAGAGAAAATAATCTCAGTGAGTCATATTAGAGGATTAAGCCCCTCCCCCTTTGGTGGTTCCTGTTTTTCTGCTGTGACTCATGTTTTCTGAGATGTCCCATCTTCTAGTAATCCTTGATCTATCTCCTAATATCCGCCTCTATGCAGACGATTCAGTGTTTTTTAAACGATTTTTCTTTCTTTTTCTTTTTAAATCGAGCAGGAACCACAGCTCCGGCTTCCTGCTCTGGACTGGAACCAGTTTGATGCCAACATACTGGTTCAGCCTTACCGTCACTGGCCCACAGGAAGTGATGTAACCCTGGTAACCTAGAACCTGGAGGAGTGAGAACTCACCTTGTTCTGTCTCGGTCCTCGTTGAGCTTCCACAGCCGTCATCAGGTGGAGGCGGAGCTTCTCCAGCGGTCACTTCCTGTGTGGCCACGTTCACTTCCATTATCTCCAGGATTTTATCCACAGCTTCCAGACACAGCTGGTCCACTGCAGTCCTCGTTGAGCTTCCACAGCCGTCATCAGGTGGAGGCGGAGCTTCTCCAGCGGTCACTTCCTCTGTGGCCATGTTCACTTCCATTATCTTCAGGATTTTATCCACAGCTTCCAGACACAGCTGGTCCACTGCAGCTCCCACTTCCTCCTGAGAAAACCAGTAAACCCCCATCAGCCCCACTGGGTCTGAAACACAGAGGAGGACCGACTCGTTTCGCAGGGAACCGAACCTCTGGGACCCAAACCCAGCCTAAAGTTTGATGTTTAATGTCCCTGTTTTAGATTAGAGGTAGACTGATAGAAAGAAGCGAGGAGAAAATTAACACTGATGGAGAGATTCTACTAGAGGAGCAGGCAGGAGTCAGAATGACCAGATGGCTGATAAACACTATTGAACGGTTAATTTGATTAATCTTAGGAAATAGGAGCGACACATTCCTTGATTTAACTCTAAAGTGTTGTTTTTTTAAAGGAAGGAATAACCAACGGATCATCTTTTATACCTAAAACTAATACGTTTGCCGTGATTTAATGAATTTAGCGTTAATAAGTAAAAAGAACAATAATTTTCATCGTGATCACTGAGTCTGGGAGCGGCCATTTTTGCCCAACTATAGTAGCCCCTCCCTCCTGCCATCTTCCAGCAGTGACGTCACGGTGCGGTAAGCCTAGCGCCATTCTCCCCGCTTTCCAAGCTAAATCAATGGGAACTACTAGACACATCTGCAATCAACAACAATTATTGAAGATTTCCAGAGGACTTCACCATTGAAATTCACCAGAGCTATAGTGAAACTGACAATGCCCACGTGCATGGCAGCTGGATGCTGGAATACATCGGGTAAAAGTGAAAAAAAAGAGTTATTCCATCTTTCTGATTCCTGATCCTCCACGGACGGGTTGGTCGTTGGATCGCCAACTTGAAGAGGGAGGATTTGCCATCGAACTTCTGGCCAGAGAAAAAACCCGTAATATGTAGCCAACATTTGGAAGAAGAATGTTTTCAAGATGACTTGGATAATAGCGCGTTGTGACAAACACCAGATACAGCACTGGGACTTGATCAACAGCCGATACCGCACCGTGACGTCACTAACCAGCAGGTGGCAGTAGTGTTCTTTGACAAACATGGATGCCTCCAGTAAAGCACATTCACATGAAAATTACTCTGAATTAAAAACACTGATCATTTATTGAACAGGATGGAATCATTTCACATTTAAAGAACTTTCAGAAGTTTGAATTCTGAATATGAGCGGACTTCTCATTTAAATATTAATAAATATGTTAAGATGAAAGAAAGCATCTTTGTCCCTGTTTCCTATTTTAATTTAGATTTTATTTATTTATTTTTATCAATGTCTGCAGACCAGATTTCAGTAATCTGGTCACCTTTGTTCCTCTAATTCCTCTGAAGTGCCATTGGGCAACACTGATGACTGGGTCCAGGTGTGCTGAGGGGAGCCGTTTCTATGGTAACATATCACAGAACCACCTGAAGAACTGAACCTCCAGACAAGCTGAACACCTGAAACCCCATCAGAACCAGACCGAACCGGTCCGAACCCCCACCACATGCCTTTATAATTACTGACGTCATGTTTAGAGCTTTTTCCGACATCTTAGGTGAAAATGTTATAAAGGCTGGGTGGACACTGACGTCACCAAGCAGAGCTTCCTTCCCCGGAAGTGCTGGGTGTGTTAGGCATAGATATCCATAATAAAAGTTTGGCTTTTATAGCCTTAGGGCAAGCAGGCAATGCATACAAGTGGTCAGTGGCCTGCCGCTTGCAGCTCAAACCCCTCTCTCCAGTGGCTCCCTGTTGTTTTGCATAAATATAAAAAAATATATATAAATAATAGTGGTATAGAAATTACTTATTTTTTTAAGAATTAAATGTTTACTTTTCAATTCTGTGAGCCTAAATACAAGATACTCCAATTATCCGACAGAAAACACAACAGCATACATTTAAGTAATTGTAAAGGCTTGTCCACTTATAAGGCAAAAATATGTTTTGTGGCTCTGAAAAAAAAATTTCTCTTTTGATTGTAAAGGCTGCCTACCCTTGGGTTTAGTTTCAACGTTCACACATTTATAAATTCAAGTTTATGAGCGACAGAGTCAAACTTTTTATAAGATAAAGGATTTAATATAACAAATTGTTTTTAACAAGCCACATGAAAACACTCACAGCATCAGGTTGAGGTACATCCTGGGACACGTCCATTGGCAGGTTGTCTTCCACTCTTCTAGAGGTGGTTGTGTTTCTTGTGGCTACTAGCTAAAATTAAGTAAAGAGGTTTTGAGTGTCTAAAAGGTGCTACTAAACAACACATTATATATCTTGCAGAAACAAAAGTGACCAGCAACAATTCACAGTGTATAAGAGTGTTATATCAATATGTGATTAAATTGCAATGATACACATACCCTTTGAAGATGAGCTGGAAAATTGAAGATTTTGGGCACAACACCATCTTTAAGTCGGACTGTCTGCCCTGTTCGGTCAAAATCCTCACTCCTGAAGTGCTCACTGCAAAGCAGAGTCCTGTCAGTCGCAACAAAACTGTCCCTTCTTAGGGCAAGTTCCCACAGCTTCCTCATCTTTCCATTTTTGGGAAACCTTAAAAACGTGAGAAATGTTCCAAGAAGTATAAATTATTGTCAGCATTTCCAAAGCTTTTTCCTTCTGTCAACATTAAGGGTTAGCACAAAAATACACACCTAAATGAAATATGTTTGGGGTAATTGTATGTATGTATGCACTTGAGAATAACACAACCACACTAAACTACTTATAAAAAGTTGTCCAAACGAAACTAATACAAACTTATAAAAGCTTTGAGTCAACAGCAATCTTGTAATACTATTATGTCATAGCCCCGATGTTCCTGTGTACCAGAGCCTGTATTGTACATACATCCACTAATTAACTAACGATTATCCCAAATACAAATCATAATTTTATATCTTACGTGTGAAAGGTGATCCCACTGGCTCTCGTTTTGACACTACGGCGATTGGAGCATCCGTAGGCTGCACAAAAGTCTGGCATCTTCCTATAAATAAACCCAGCAAATTCCTGTAACATAATGTAAGATGTTTTGACAAACCAAATCTATTGGAAATCATGCATTAATCATGTATAAATTCTGCCTCTTCCACTGATGTAAAGTTGCTGGTTAACGTTAGCAGCTAGCTAAACTGTAACGTTAGCTGCTAACTTACTAACTTTAGGTCTCACTTCGCAGCTTCTTGTTATTAGCCAGCTAACGTTAGGCTAATAATGAAAATCCAACAACACTCAGATTATTGTTATTAGCCAACTAATAACTACAACCACATCGACAAAGATTGTAATTTACACCAAAGATTAATTGACATACAATCGTTATTGATAACTTGTGCAAGTAACCGTGATGCACAACTATGCTGCACGATTAAGTCATTTTTCGACAAGAAAATCTGCAATTTCGACATGTTCAAGCATCAAGAATTATAGCCACGTTCATAATGTTTGTAAGAAACGAAACTGTTTGTAAATCCGTCAAGAATTCAATGAGATAAGAGTATTTGTGTTCGTGCTGATCACTCACCTTACATTAAGTACCACAGAGCACAACAGAAAGCCTGCCTGAGGCAAGATGGCCGCCCGGTGATGACGTTTGAGACTCCGGCGTAAGACATCTAGCCTTTATTATGGATATCTATGGTGTTAGGCGTTAGCAGCAGTTAGCCTACCTCGGTCCGGGGCTTCATGCCGGTGAAGGAGACCTTCTCCTCCACGGTCCGGATCTCCCTCAGCAGCGCCTCGGCTAAACCGCTCACCACCAGAACCACCCGCCGCCTTACTGCCGCTAGATCCGTCATCTTAGGCCGCAGTTAGCTTAGCTCAGGGCTAACGAACCGCTGGAAGACTGTACCGGAAGTGACGCAGTTGACTTGTCCAGCGCCAAATGGGCGCTTTTCCTGTTACTTTGACACATGATTGGAACATGTAGCGGTTAGTCCTAGTAAAACATTAAAGAAACGCTATAAATTAATTTCTGTTAAGCATTGATCTATTTCCAGATGTAAGGAAACATATTGATGCTATCATTACACCATCACATCATTACATCATCACATCATTACATCATAGATCTTAGCAGATGAGGAGGCATCCATGGTTCCAGCCTCATAAAAATATTACACTTTGTTCCTAGCTGAAGGAACAAACTGTCATTCTGTCTGTGCCACCGATGGATGGAGGATGGATGATGGATAGATGGGAGGAGGATGGAGGGATGGATGGAAGGATGGATGGATAGATGGGAGGAGGATGGAGGGATGGATGGAAGGATGGATGGATAGATGGGAGGAGGATGGAGGGATGGATGATGGATGGATAGATGATAGATGGGAGGAGGATGGAGGGATGGATGGAAGGATGGATGGATAGATGGGAGGAGGATGGAGGGATGGAGGATGGATGGATAGATGATAGATGGGAGGAGGATGGAGGGATGGATGGAAGGATGGATGGATAGATGGGAGGAGGATGGAGGGATGGATGATGGATGGATAGATGGGAGGAGGATGGAGGGATGGATGATGGATGGATAGATGGGAGGAGGATGGAGGGATGGATGATGGATGGATAGATGGGAGGAGGATGGAGGGATGGATGATGGATGGATAGATGGGAGGAGGATGGAGGGATGGATGATGGATGGATAGATGATAAATGGGAGGAGGATGGAGGGATGGATGGAAGGATGGATGGATAGATGGGAGGAGGATGGAGGGATGGATGATGGATGGATAGATGGGAGGAGGATGGAGGGATGGATGATGGATGGATAGATGGGAGGAGGATGGAGGGATGGATGATGGATGGATTGATGATAAATGGGAGGAGGATGGAGGGATGGATGGAAGGATGGATGGATAGATGGGAGGAGGATGGAGGGATGGATGATGGATGGATAGATGATAGATGGGAGGAGGATGGAGGGATGGATGGAAGGATGGATGGATAGATGGGAGGAGGATGGAGGGATGGATGATGGATGGATAGATGGGAGGAGGATGGAGGGATGGATGATGGATGGATAGATGGGAGGAGGATGGAGGGATGGATGATGGATGGATAGATGATAGATGGGAGGAGGATGGAGGGATGGATGGAAGGATGGATGGATAGATGGGAGGAGGATGGAGGGATGGATGATGGATGGATAGATGGGAGGAGGATGGAGGGATGGATGGAAGGATGGATGGATAGATGGGAGGAGGATGGAGGGATGGATGATGGATGGATAGATGGGAGGAGGATGGAGGGATGGATGATGGATGATGGATTGATAGATAGATACCCGCTCTATGGCGTAGCGTCTGTTTCTGCAGCTCTATGGTGTAGCGTCTGTTTCTGCAGCTCTATGGTGTAGCGTCTGTTTCTGCAGCTCTATGGTGTAGCTTCTGTTTCTGCAGCTCTATGGTGTAGCGTCTGTTTCTGCAGCTCTATGGTGTAGCGTCTGTTTCTGCAGCTCTATGGTGTAGCGTCTGTTTCTGCAGCTCTATGGTGTAGCGTCTGTTTCTGCAGCTCTATGGCGTAGCGTCTGTTTCTGCAGCTCTATGGCGTAGCTTCTGTTTCTGCAGCTCTATGGTGTAGCGTCTGTTTCTGCAGCTCTATGGTGTAGCGTCTGTTTCTGCAGCTCTATGGTGTAGCGTCTGTTTCTGCAGCTCTATGGCGTAGCGTCTGTTTCTGCAGCTCTATGGTGTAGCTTCTGTTTCTGCAGCTCTATGGTGTAGCGTCTGTTTCTGCAGCTCTATGGCGTAGCGTCTGTTTCTGCAGCTCTATGGTGTAGCTTCTGTTTCTGCAGCTCTATGGTGTAGCGTCTGTTTCTGCAGCTCTATGGTGTAGCGTCTGTTTCTGCAGCTCTATGGCGTAGCGTCTGTTTCTGCAGCTCTATGGTGTAGCTTCTGTTTCTGCAGCTCTATGGTGTAGCGTCTGTTTCTGCAGCTCTATGGTGTAGCGTCTGTTTCTGCAGCTCTATGGTGTAGCGTCTGTTTCTGCAGCTCTATGGTGTAGCTTCTGTTTCTGCAGCTCTATGGTGTAGCGTCTGTTTCTGCAGCTCTATGGTGTAGCGTCTGTTTCTGCAGCTCGTTTACAAACTGGTCGAACTAGAAGCCATGCAAATAGATTGGTTCAGTAATTATCAATACCTTCATGATGCATTATGACACAAAGCCTCTAATGTTCCAAAAATATCAGATTTTATTTCAGCTTAATGAGTGATAACTGTACAGACATGAATAATAACCATAAATAATAATAATGAGGATTTTATTAAACAACTTATTTTCCTGTATTTTACATTCAGAGCCTCAGACAACAAACAAACAGCAAAAGGACATAAATATAAAACAAAGAAAAGTCACAGAATGTAGCTCCTCCTCCTCCTTCCCCTCCTCCTGCTCCTCCTTCTCCTCCTCCTCCTCCTCCATCAGCCTGACTGCTGGAGCAGTCCCACCACAGCAGTCCTTCAGGAAGGAGAACCCCCGTTATACCAGTGCTGCTATTAGCCCCGCCCACTCCTCTTTGATTGGTTAGCTCCCAGAAGCCTTTGGTGTGAGGTAGGGGGGCGGGACTGGACTAAGATCACAGAATAAATATTTTAGACAGTTTTATACATTTGAGTTAAGCTACTTTGCATAGCAACAGTTGATGTCTCTGCTGTTTATTGGCTCAGCTCCCTGAGGTAGGAGCCAATCACAGAGCAGTTCTCGTCAGTCCGTCCACAGCCGGATCCTCCCGCCTTCAGCTGCGCTCCTCTGATTCGCTGCCGCTCTGCGGCTGTGGTGAGGGGGCGGTCCTGCTGGAAGCCCCGCCCTCTTCTGATTGCTGCTGTTTGGAGGAGCTGGACAGGTCCATCGCCTCCTCCTCCTCTGTCTCCTCGCCCCCCAGAAGCTCCTCCTCCTCCTCCCGTGTCGCCCCAGCCTGCTGTTCGGAGGCGCTGCAGAAGGAGTCGGAGCGGGCCGAGTCCGACTCCAGAGGACTGGAACACTTCTTGGACATTTCCAGGGACTTCTTGTGCATACCTGAGTGGGCGGAGTCAGAGCAGTGCAGTTCAGAATGGGAGTCATTAAGCAGAGAAAACTGTAGGGGGCGCTGTGGCGAACAGAGCTGAGGGTGCGATTCGTGTGTGGCGGAGTGTGTATTGATAGTGGTGTGGTGCGTGTGCGTGGCACTGACGTGCATGCGGCTCACCGAGCAGCCAGGGGGCGCAGGATCCCATCATGCCGTTCTTGGCCGAGTTCAGGATGGACTCTGGCAGCGGGATGGAGTGTCGGACCATGGCGCCGTACAGCCCGTACTCCGCCATGACGCTACTGCGACCCCAGCACTTCTCACGCTTTCGCCACTTCGCCCGCCGGTTCTGGAACCACACCTGGAACACATCACAGAACCGGAACGTTAAAAAAAGGCCAACGTTTCCTCAACATTCATGTTAAAATGCTCATAAACTAACAAAGGGATTCATTTAGCTCCATAATGCTAACATCCAACAACCAGATAAGAGACAATAAAAAATATCGGATTAATGCAGGGAAAACCAAGGAGCGAGTGGCGGACTTTCCTCCCCACTGTCACCGGTGAACATCCAGGGGACGGACAGTGAGGTAGTGGACTCTACCTCGGTGTTCACCTGAACAACAAACTGGGCTCACAACACTGAGGCTCCGGATCAGAAGGTCAGAGCAGACTCTTCCTGCTGAGCAGACAGCAGGGGGCGCTCCTAAAGACCTTCTTCTCTGGAGCTCCCTGTTGGAGCAGAGGCTTATCTGTAGCTGAGAGGAAGCAGCTGGATCAGCTGATCAGGAAGGCCAGCTGTGATTGGACGCCCTCTGGACTCAGTGCAGGAGGTGGGAAACAGACGGATCCCCCCCCCATGCTGGTTCAGCTGGTGCTGAACTGGACAGCTCCTTCAGTGACAGACTGCTGCACCTTAAATGCACCAGGGAGCGTTATCACAGATCCTTCCTCCCAGCAGCTGGAAGACTCTAGAACCACCACTGTTCCCATCAACCTCAACCAGTTAAATAACCTGCTGCTGCCATTCTGCACATCTCTGATGATGCTGCTATTTATATTACTGTAAAAATATCCATAGCTGCATATTATTTATTCTCCAGTTTTATATTATTAAAACACTTTACAGTATTTTATTATTTATATTTTAACTCTTCACTATTATGTTATTCTTATACATTTTTCTAAGGTCCACATTTGTGTGGCTATTTTCAATAATCTTTCTGCTGCTGTAAATTTGCCCATTGTTTCATTATAGTGTATAATAAAGTATTTTTGTTTAATTTTATTCACAGAGTCTTGTTTTATTTAAGTTGATCTATTTTAATATTAATAATAACTAATTGCCTTTATTTGGTAAAAATGTTCATGTTATTTTCTTACAGCTAGAGGAAAAAATCGTTTGATCTTTTATAATCAGGATTTATATCCTAGAAAATAATTAAAGATTTTAATTTTATAGTTGTATTTATTGTAACGTGTCTGTAGGCCCGGAGCTCCGTCCCACCTGGATCCGGTCCTCCGGCAGCTCCGTCTTCATGGCCAGCATCTCCCGGGCGTAGACGTCCGGATAGTGGGCCTCATGGAAGGCCTTCTCCAGCTCCTCCAGCTGGTGGGAGGTGAACACCGTCCTGAGGAAGAGGAGGAGGAGGAAGATCAGAACCGGAACCAAGAGTGAAACCTTTGATCTGTTTAATTATTCTCTTTTTATTTCTGCTTTAATCTTTATTTATTTATTTTTAGTGTTTTTTTTCTCCTCATCGGATCGTTTTCAGTTTTTCGATCATTTAATTTATTTTCATCATACCTTTAATCTGAATTTATTGTTAAATAATATTAATATTATTAGTAATAATATTATTACTATTATTAGTAATAATATTAGTAATATTATTAATATATTAAACTAAACCTTTTAAACTCTGTCCGTTTTTAAATAAAATAAGCTATATTTATAGTATTTATAAATTTTTTTTCCTGTTCGTTTCTGGATAAAATTAAATAAAAACGAACTAAATGTTGTAAAAATGCAGTTATTCTTTTACTTTAGTGTTTATCATCAAATGTTTTTATCTCTGCTGTTTATCTTATAAAGGCTGCGGTTTAAAAAATGAATTATTCTATAGATCTGTTCTAAACGAAATTTCTTTTTGTTTACACTTTTTTACTTAATGACAAAAATAAACCTTTTATTTAATCATTTGATTAATTTTAAAATGTTTTATCACTTTCACCTTTATTTAATGACTCATAAATTTGATCCAATTATTGAAACATTTCCTGGACCATCGGAACAAATAAAAACAAACCAAAAAATAAATAATAAATTAATTAAATTTCGTTCCGTTTAATATTTTATTCTGATGTTTTTTCTTTATTTCTGCTTTAAACACAAAAACCGCTGCGAATTTCATCAGAACCGAACCACAGATTAACGGGTCCAAATAAAAACAAGACTAAAATAAATTTAAAATCATATTTGATCAAACATCTTCATCACCTGTGTCTCCTCTTCTTCCTCTTCTGTGAGTTTCCGGAACTTTTCGAATCGTTTCTGTCAGAGAGAACTTCATCATCTGCAGAACAAAACATCAGAAACTAAATTGGATCATTTCATTCTTCCAGAACCGAACCGACCCGACCGGTCCCGCCAGAGGCGCTTCCTACCGGAGAGCTGTTCCCTCTGGGCCTCCAGATGCTGCAGGTAGTGGCTCTCGGAGCGGCCCTGCAGCAGCGGCAGGTGACCCGGTAGGAAGCAGGGGCCGCCGGCGGGCTGCTGGGCCGCCAGGCTGCACAGGAAGCCCAGACCCAGCGGCAGGGAACCGCCCGGGAAGGAGAAACCCCCGAGGCCGCCGCCCGGACCCAGAGGCTCTGCTCCGGGACCCGCAGCGGTCAGGGTGGCCCCCGGGGGCCCGGCGGGCTGCTGCCGGGCCTGAAGGTCCGACTCCAGGCCCAGCAGGTCGGTGATGGCGAAGCCTTTGGAGCGGAACCCGGAGCCATGCAGCCGGGCCTTATCGATCCCGATCCCCGGAGAGAGCATCCGGAGCCTGGGCTTGTCCTCACTGAGCTCCTCCCGGCCCGTCATCCTGAGGAAGAGGAGCTGATGAAGGTCTGAAAGCGGGAGCGGGACCCGGAGGAGGGAATTTATGTGGCCCCGGGCCCCCGGGTTCACAGCGGGAGCCAATCAGGAGGCAGAGCCGGGAGGGAGGGGAGTGGGGGGTGGGGGGGTGTCCTCTCAATCCCAGAGGATTAATTGCCACCAATTTTCCTCCAATCCGATCTGGATTTACAGGCCAGAGGAGGAGGAGGAGGAGGAGGGTGGGGAGTGGTGGAGGGGTGGGGGGGTTAATTTATGTTGTTGATCTTTGATCAGAGCAGAAACATCCCACAAACAGAAGTTCTCCTCCCCACCTCCTCCTCCTCCTCCAGCAGCAGAACATCAGCATCACTGTTACCATGGCAACCATGGCTCCTATCATCTGCTGACAGCGAATAAAAATAAAAACTAGATCATTTACAATACAATCTGAAACTAAGCAGATGAAGCAGAATTTTATTTATTTCTCTTTAAAGATTAAATATAAATTTAATTCCTGCTTGTTCACTTTAAGTCTGACATTTTGAGAAATTGATTTTAAAAGGCTTCACTTGCAGAAACAGCCCAAAATATTAATCGTTTAAATTAAATAATTATTTCGGACCCTTTGTTCCCTTTGTACCGGTCGGCCGCACAGAACCTTCTGAGCCGAACCGGATCATCACTTCCGTTCAAATCAGACAAACAGATTCATGTTGGCTCTGGTTCAAAGGTCCGGTTCTAAGTTCTAAGTTCTGGTTCTGAGTTCGGATTCAGACAAGCTGAGGCCCTGGACAACTCCTGGTTCCTGGTGTCGGCTGTGAGTGTGAAGGTAAAGTGTGATCAGCGCCTCCATGCAGATCACCAGGATTTCACTCTGATTAGAAATAATCTCAACAGTTTATTTTAAGCAGAAATAAATCTCAGGGATTCTGTGACATCATCGCCATCAGGAAGAAAAAGCAGAACAGAGACGGATTAAAAACATCCGCCCAAATTTGCTTTAATTATCTCTGATAAGCAGATTCCTCCAAACTAATTGCTTTTTAAACCCGTTGACCATTTTTACCTTCTTCCAAACAGACTCACACTGAGCCGCTCCCTGCCCGCCTGCCAGTCAATCCGCAGGGATTAAACTCTAACTTGGCCCTAATTTTGTCCACAGGGACTTTCACCAGGATGTCTCCACCATCAGAAGGTGGGAACTAAGAGAACCGGATAATTTATGGTTTAACATCAACTGTTCTTTTAAATCTGTTCCTTCTTCATTTCATCTTTGCTGCTGGTTTCTAATCCTAAAAACAAAGAAAAGCATATTTGAAGATGTCAGGCCTCCACTCACTGAGCCGCTGAGTTGCAGCTAAAGATGGCAGCAGCTAGATGATGCTACCTGCTAATGCTACACTGCAAAAACAATCTACAAATAAGTCAAAATGTCTTAAAGTGTTTTTACTCCTAATTTCAGCAGGTAAATAAGATGATTTGCCGATGGAATGAGTATTTTACTCTTAAAATAAGATAACTAGATAATATGCACTTGAGATAAGACAATGCAATAGTTTTTTTTTTTTTTTATGTTAATCGTCTTATTCCATTGGCAAACTGTCTCATTTACACCCTCAATTTAAGAAAAAATCTCTGATCCTCATTCAGGTCAGCCATCCAGTAAAGTGAGTCCAGATGCTTCTGCTGCTCCTGAGTTCGATGCCAGAGAGCAGCTTTGCTATATTAGCTGTGATCAGCGGGTAGAAAGTAGTTAGAATCTATGTTGAAGTGAGAAAGTCCTCCTGAAAACATGGTCTGTGCAGTCAGTTCATCCAGATTACCATCCTGCCTTCAAAGATTATTTCTCTGTGGGAGCCGCTCAGACCCCCACATACCGGTGTAGGTACCAGATAGACTCGGGCTGCCAGATTGACTCGGGGGCCTGCGCCTTTTGATGACGTCACAATACATAATTGTTTTAACGTTTGCACAATTGCGCAAAACATTTTGATTGGTCTGGACAGCTTACTAAAGTAATTATAGCGGGGTGTAGGTTTTATTCGAAAGCGGGATTGCTGTTTGTAAACGGACAATTTTACGAAGACATTCTCCATGGTCCCTGCGCCTTCTGATGACGTCACCGAATTCGCCATGGGCCTTGCGCCTCCCGATGACGTGACATTATGGCAATGCCACTCAAACAAACTACATTGAGCCCGCGGTCTGCATTTGTAACGAGAATAAATTCAGGAGAATGAAGCTAAAGGGATACAAAAAATAAACTTGTAATATTACAAAACCAAAAATACTACGAATACAAAGTATATTCAGAGATTAAAGTCCCTCTGATACTGTTTAAGTGACTGAGAAACTGCAGATTTGCCACATTTAAGATGGCGGACGCTCTGACGCATCTCAAAAGGCGCAGGCCCCCGAGTCAATCTGGCAGCCCGAGTCAATCTGGTACCTACCGGCGCTGCGCTGTCACTGGGAATCCCCAGCAGCAGCTGCCTCAGGCCCGCTCGCCTCTTGGGGGTTTTCCCCTGCTGTTGTTGGAGCTGGAAGCAGAAGATGAACCATGGATCCAAACACAGCAGCTGTTCTACAGCAGAACAACTAAACACAAGAATCAGGAGCTGCAGTGGTCCTCAGTGACACAAACAAAGCCTTATGGTTCTCCTCCATGGTTCTCCTCCATGGTTCTCCTTCTTCATGGTTCCTCATCTTGTTGATCACTGATCCACTGACCTGATCAAAGGCAGCAGATTAGGCTCCAGAACATCAGATGAAGAGTCTGGATTAAACCTGTGGATTACCTTCAGATCGATTGATTAGAATAATCTCCAGATTAAGCTCTGATCTTTTCATCTACTCTTCATCTCCGTCATCGTTATCCTTCATTGTTTCATCTTTTCACTTTAACCTTCTATAATTAATGTGCAGATGTAAGGGGTCAAAGGTCACGCGCTGTAATCTGCATGTAGCATCAACTGAGTTATTTTAAAGTGATCCAAGAACAGAGTTTAGGCTGCCGCCGCTTCCATCGATCTACAGAAGATCGGAGGACGAGTTCGACCCGAATACATGACCCGGAAGAATCACATGACCCCAAAGACAAGGAAGGAAGGAAGGAAGGAAGGAAGGAAGGAAGGAAGGAAGGAAGGAAGGAAGGAAGGAAGGAAGGAAGGAAGGAAGGAAGGAAGGAAGGAAGGAAGGCAGGGAGGAAGGAAGGCAGGCAGGGAGTGAGTGAGTGAGTGAGTGAGTGAGTGAGTGAGTGAGTGAGTGAGTGAGTGAGTGAGTGAGTGAGTGAGTGAGTGAGTGAGTGAGTGAGGGAGGAAGGAAGGAAGGAAGTGAGGAAGGAAGGAAGGGACGGAGGGAGGAAGGAAGGCAGGGAGGGAGGAAGGAAGGAAGGAAGGAAAGAAGGCAGGGAGGGAGGGAGGAAGGAAGGAAGGAAGTGAGGAAGGAAGGAAGGGACGGAGGGAGGAAGGAAGAAAGGAAGGGACGGAGGGAGGGAGGGAGGGAGGAAGGACGGAAGGGAGGGAGGAAGGTAGGAAGGACGGAAGGCAGGAAGGAAGGAAGGAAGGAAGGAAGGGAGGGAGTGAGGGAGTGAGGGAGGGAGGGAGGAAGGAAGGAAGGAAGGAAGGAAGGAAGGAAGGAAGGAAGGAAGGAAGGAAGGAAGGAAGGAAGGAAGGAAGGAAGGAAGGAAGGAAGGAAGGAAGGAAGGAAGGAGGGAGGGAGGAAGGACGGAAGGGAGGGAGGAAGGAAGGAAGGAAGGAAGGAAGGAAGGAAGGAAGGAAGGAAGGAAGAAAGGAAGGGAGGGAGGGAGGGAGGAAGGACGGAAGGGAGGGAGGAAGGAAGGAAGGAAGGAAGGAAGGAAGGAAGGAAGGAAGGAAGGAAGGAAGGAAGGAGGGAGGGAGGAAGGACGGAAGGGAGGGAGGGAGGAAGGACGGAAGGGAGGGAGGAAGGAAGGAAGGAAGGAAGGAAGGAAGGAAGGAAGGAAGGAAGGAAGGAAGGAAGGAAGGAAGGAAGGAAGGAAGGAAGGAAGGAAGGAAGGAAGGAAGGAAGGAAGGAAGGAAGGACACTCACTCACTCTTCAAACTGCTTGATCTGTTTCATGTTCATGATGTTTCGTTCCAAAAAGTTAAATCAATCCACTGGACTTTGTTTCCAAGTTTAAAGCCGTTTCTCTTCCATCCAGGAAGATTTTTCAATTCAAAATGTTTCAGATTGGGAATAAAATCAGCCTGAAATGATGTGAGTGACTGAAAGAGGGAAAACGCTCAGAGTGAGACCTCCTCAATGAGCAGGATCTTAAATGTGGACCTTCTGGGCCAACAGAACCGTCCCTCCTGGTTAGAGGTTAATGGCCGCCATGTGTCATTGATTACCGTCTTTCACTCTGCCGCTCTGAGAGAAAAGAGGAGGCGGATTCCTCCATCGAGGCCCCTGGGGGCCCGACATAAAGCAGCAGCTTGTCCTCACAAAGACAGTTGATGGTCATGATGCTCCACTTTCCCCCCAAGCAACACCTGCTGGACCTGTTGGACCCCAGAACTGGATGAAATGGTTCCCAACAGCTCTGCTTTCCTAATTTCTATTGATTTCAGGTTTGAATTTAAATGTTATTTTATCTCAAACATCTAAATGGATTTATTATTTTATTTCTGTTTCTTTATTTGTCTTGTATTGTAGTGTTGCGGCTCAGGCAGGAAGTGATGAACTTTATGTAAATCAGTTTCTGATGAGACCAATTAACCAGCAGAACCAGCAGCAGCAGGCTGTAAGTGATCAGGCTGCAGGCGCCGCCTGCTTTGTTCTTCATTGTTGATGCAGCTCCATTGTTGACCAGCAGCAACGGTAACAATAGTCTGGCCACGCGTCCTGACCCCCCCCACCCCCGTGGCCCACTAATTATTCATAAAATTCACATTTATGCAAATAGATTAACCTAATTCAGGGAAGTAAACAGCTCCTGCTCAGGATTAAACTTTTTAAATTAGTGTCTGGAGGTCTGGACCATATACCCTTACACCCCCCCCCCCCCCTCATTTACATCATGTAATCTGTAAAGA